TAACGTTCATCAATGTCAATAAATAAAATATCAACAAACAACGACCCTAATAAAGGCAGCCAAGTTTACAAACTCTCAATGAACAATTTAATATTGTAATGCTGCTTCAATGATACACGAGTCAAAACTTGCGAATATATAAGTGATAAACCCATCCCTGCTAGCGGTACCATACGATAACACATGATGCACTCGTAAATAAATATTTTTAATAAATATTTAATAATAATTAAATATTTTTTATTATAAATAATTTTTCTAAACCTGTTTTCTATGCATTCAAGCCATCTAAACCAAGTCCAGGCTTTGCTGTTGACAACTGTGAAGATCAGAGCTAACACAACGCGGTTGCAGAGACGATCTTTACAGAGGTAGTGAGAGAAAGAGGCTCTATCCCAAAAATTTGCATCAACTAATCTAACAAATAATCGTTCACAAGTTCTTATTTATTGACAAGATGTAAAGAGCAACATCAGAAGAGAGGAACAATATATTTAGGAGAGGATAACCTCGTCTGTAACCAGTGGAATTATGTTGAAGATAATTCTGCAGAATATTCGGAGTATTCTGCAGAATATTCGGAGTATTCTGCAGAATATTCGGAGTATTCTTTCTGCATAATATTCGGAGTATTCTGCAGAATATTCGGAGTATTATGCAGAATATTCGGAGTATTCTGCAGAATATTCGGAGTATTCTGCAGAATATTCAGAGTATTCTGCAGAATATTCAGACTATTCTCCAGAAGAGCTTGTTGAATTGATTGTGAACGCGCTCATTATATTGCCGGACGTCAAGGATGGAATGACTGAGTGCGCAATACAAAGAAATTGGCCTGATGCTAAGGAGGAAAGAAACGAACTAAGTGTGATCATTTTTAACATTGCTATTAAGTGTGCATATTTTACTGCTGTTAATTTTGATAAATCAGGCAAATGTTGAAAATTGTGGACTTGCGGCCTCTTGTGCATCATTTGAAAAGCGTGTTTATGTTACATTTAGTCCCAGTAGAAAAAATATTGCGGGATGTAGCCACTGTTACGAAATTTTGAAAACGTGGGTGTAAAAGGTTATTAAATACAAGAATAAGTCTATATGATTAGATACATATAGAGCGGCGTCAAAATATTCCCATATAAGGGAGTATCTTGGTAGAGACTGTGACTATGGTCTTGTAATTATTAATTACAAGAATAAGTCTATATGATTAGGATACATAGAGCGGCGTCAAAATATTCCCATATAAGGGAGTATCTTGGTAGAGACTGTGACTATGGTGACCAGGCTTGGCCAAATGCTGCTCTTGCGGTTGTGGCTTATGAGTGAATTGCTTCCTTACTTATCATCTGCAATGATTTCTTCCCAAATATGGTATTTTACTTTATTAAAATGAAACTAAGTTTCAATGGGAACAAATGCCTAACAAAGTTTGTTTATTTAGTCAATAATTAGCACCACACCGAACAATGCAGATTTTGTACTCGCATTACAATAGTACAATATGATACCAGCTCGTATCTTTTATAACAGAAGACAAAAAATTTCTTTACATCCATGAACAATGTAAATGCATCTTTAAGACCATTTAAAATTTCATCAATATTAAATAAATCCCACAACTTTTTTTCTCGGACTGAACGGGTTAAATATGTATTTTTCACCTGAATAAACGTTTCTACTTTTCATGTGAATTAACTAACAGATTTATATAAATTTCGCCATTCACGTTGTAATATTGGTACATAACACAACTGGAATGAGATTATGCATGATATTTCAGATACATTCAATGCAGCAGCAGGCATTTAATACCAACTAAACTTTTGTACTAACAACTAACTCTTCCATGCTAGTTTGTAGTAGAGGTTGTAGTTTGTTCCCACATTCTAATTCACCGTCAAACATGTTGTCCCGATTCAGTCAATCGAAATAAGTCGAGTAGTGAACTTTTCTACAGTAGATCAATGTATTATAAGAACTAGTCAATAATTATAGGCCCATGTATTCACATCAAATGATAAAGAAATTACTTTCGACAATCTTAGTAATCTAAATTTTTAAATCTATTTTCACGTCAATTAAAAAGCAATACACGCACAAAATCTGGAAAATAAATAAGAAAAAGTGCATTGAGATCAAGGCAAGACTGACCTTGTCATCAGGAAGGCAAGACTGACCTGGGCTTCAGGAAGGCAAGACTGAACTGGGCTTCAGGAAGGCAAGACTGACCTGGGCTTCAGGAAGGCAAGACTGTCCTGGGCTTCAGGAAGGCAAGACTGACCTGGGCTTCAGGAAGGCAAGACTGACCTGGGCTTCAGGAAGGCAAGACTGTCCTGGGCTTCAGGAAGGCAAGACTGACCTGGGCTTCAGGAAGACAAGGCTGACCTGGGCTTCAGGAAGACAAGGATCTTACCGCAGGTTCGCATATTGTCTGGCAGAGACTCCAGGTCCTCAGCCAGGTCCTGTATTTGGTCCACGGATGTTCCCCAGCAACTGCACCAGTGAATGGAACATTAAATCATTATAGTATTACCTGTATATACATGAAACATCGCATTATTATAGGTCCCAATATTATAAAACATATTTGTAATATTAACTAATATTGATAAATTAGTAAATATTAAGCAAGTCAGACTGCCAGCATGTCAGACCACTCATTATACACCTCCCCTGTACAAAGGAAGAGAATGCATATAACTTAATGCACATTTAGACTGAGAGACAGCACATTTAACTAAAAGACTGCACATTTAGACTGAAAGACTGCACATTTAGACTGAAAGAAAGCACATTTAGACTGAAAGACTGCACATTTAGATTGAAAGACTACACATTCAGACTGAAAGACTGCACATTCAGACTGAAAGACTGCACATTCAGACTGAAAGACTGCACATTCAGACTGAAAGACTGCACATTCAGACTGAATGACTACACATTCAGACTGAAAGACTAGGTGCACATAGGCAATTCATGCAGGAATTAGTTCGCTCCAACGCAACTCACCGCGCTGCACGCCATGAAGCAAGCAAGTCATTACAATACAGCGGTGCAGGCCAAGCTTATAATCAAGCCAGAGGCCATACTGCAGTCATTACCTCCTCAATACAGCGGTGCAGGCCAAGCTTATAATCAAGCCAGAGGCCATACTGCAATCATTACCTCCTCAATACAGCGGTACAGGCCTAGCTTATAATCAAGCCAGAGGCCATCATCAAGATCTTCTGTATGACCTGAAGCTTGCCGAGCTCGCCAATGAAGCGCAGGCAAGCCGGACCATCTCACGGCGGGCCGGACCATCTCACGGCGGGCCGGACCATCTCACGATGGGCCGGACCATCTCACGGCGGGCGGGACCATCTCATGGGGGGGGGGGCGGTTCATTCACGGGCGGGCCGTACCATCTCATCGCGGGCCGGACAATCTCACGGCGGGCCGGACCATCTCACGGCGGGCCGGACCATCTCACGGCGGGCCGGAACATCTCACGGTGGGCCGGAGCATTTTACGGCGAACCGGACCATCTCACGGTGGGCCGGACCATCTCACGGCGGGCCGGACCATCTCACGGCGGGCCAGACCATCTCACGGCGGGCCGGACCATCTCACGGCGGGCCGGACCATCTCACGGCGGGCCGGACCATCTCACGGCGGGCCAGACCATCTCACTGGGGGCCGGACCATCTCACGGCGGGCCGGACCATCTCGCGGCGGGCTGGACCATCTCACGGCGGGCCGGACCATCTCACGGCGGGCCGGTCCATCTCACGGCGGGCCGGACCATCTGACGGCGGGCCGGACCATCTCACGGCGGGCCGGACCATCTGACGGCGGGCCGGTCCAGCTTACAACGGTCCGTCTGTCGCTGTTCCTGCTCTTCACGAGTTCTTGGTCCGCGGCTCCAGGCATCTCTGGTGCTGCGACGCATCGCAAGATCATCCTGAAAATGTACAAATTATTACGATTCATTGAGTTGCTGATATATTAAAGTCCGGCTTAACTACGAAGAATTTGTCATCCCAAATCGTGACGCGTTTCAAATCCATCCTGAGTTTGAAAAATAATTTAGAACAATTTATTTACTGATAGAAATTAGTCTGGAAACTCAACATTAAATTAACTATATCGAATCATCTTGAGGTTTTAAAAATTTTGGCTCATTGATCAATTACTAATATAATATGACCTAGCAAAACCAACATTGAATTAGTTATCTCAATTCATCTCATTATTCAAAACTAATTACGAATAATTCAATTATAGAATACAATAGTATAAATTTTAGATAATAGTTCCTGAATTACAGGAATATAGAGATTAGCAAACTTACACTGAAGTTCTCTTCTTAGCAACATTACAAATGGTTTGTATTGAGGAGACCACATTCATATACTATCACGCTGAAGACGAAATGAAGGAAAAACAAACAAACTGTCGCTTCGCTGTACGAATTTGTGGCTTTTCCCGATCTACTTTGTTTAATGCTGTGCAATGCAGGTAGCTGAAGGATCTGAAGTGATTCTAACCCTGGGCATAAAATACGTAAGCTATTTTAATTTTATGGAATTATGATTTTAACAGAAAGTGAGCATAATAAACTATTTTAAGCGTGCGTGTTTATGATTTTAATTCATTGCCACTGAACAGGCATGCTACATACCGATGACGGAGAGTTATGGGCGGCATTGGAGGTTAAGTGCGAACAGTTGCCTGTAATTCATTTATATATTGCTTGGCCTGGAGCTGCGAGCGTTTGCCTCTGACGTTAGTGAACTAAAGGCCTAATAATGTTCAGTTAGCTAGTAGCAGCTCTAGCCGGTTACAAAAACATCACAGAATATTCACAGCTTGATGTGGTCTCGCAACGCAATTCGCTGCTTCAATATTGTTGTGCATAACCGCCCGGCCTCCTCGCCGATTCTGGCCAGGAACTATAGCGCACAGGTAGCTGGGATCGAACCCGCGCCTCACTGCAGCAATCCTGATACTCGGAACTGTTACGACTGGACCCACACGTGCCATGACCCACCCTGCATGATGAAGAAGGCCGTGTCAAGCCCCATGTAGTCGGCAGGCTCCAGAGTCCCCATGGTGTAGCCGGCAAGCTCCAGAGGCCCCATGGTGTAGTCGGCATGCTCCAGAGGCCCCATAGTGTAGTCGGCATGCTCCAGAGGCCCCATGGTGTAGTCGGCAGGCTCCAGAGGCCCCATAGTGTAGTCGGCAAGCTCCAGAGGCCCCATGGTGTAGTCGGCAGGCTCCAGAGGCCCCATGGTGTAGCCGGCAGGCTCCAGAGGCCCCATGGTGTAGTCGGCAGGCTCCAGAGGCCCCATGGTGTAGTCGGCAGGCTCCAGAGGCCCCATGGTGTAGCCGGCAGGCTCCAGAGGCCCCATGGTGTAGCCGGCAGGCTCCAGAGGCCCCATAGTGTAGTCGGCAAGCTCCAGAGGCCCCATAGTGTAGTCGGCAAGCTCCAGAGGCCCCATAGTGTAGTCCGCAAGCTCCAGAGGCCCCATGGGGTAGTCAGCAGGCTCCAGAGGCCCACTGGTGTAGTCGGACCCAGCTTCATGCATGTGAGAGTGGCCACCCCAGCCTGCGCATGGCCTCCCCCCAGCCTTCGCATGGCCTGTTTATTATTTTTAAAATTTTCCAGCACTTTTTCTTGAAATAAAGTGCAATGTACGTCAAGTCATAAACAATGGTAGTTCTGCCAAAGCTCAACGAGAACTATCCTCTACTTTTGAGTTGCATTTACACTGAATAGTTCTCATTTTAATTCCTAATTCAATTACAAAGGAACTAAATGGACACATAATTAGAACTTTTGCTAAGACATAAGTGTGAATGAAATGTAATGCTCAAAATTCTGTAGAAGTTTGGTTGTCAATATTCCATTTTCGGAGACCATCAAACTAAACTGGAGTGCAGAACTCAGTGCTCTGTTACAAAGACAAGATACAATATTTCATTTGGAAAAGAGATCAGGCTTGATTTTGATATTCTCCAAAAAGTCTTCAAGAACAAGATCTGCTCTCATGAACAAAGTCAGCTCTCATGAACAAGATCTGCTCTCAAAAACAAGATCTGCTCTCAAAAACAAGATCTGCTCTCATGAACAAAGTCAGCTCTCAAGAACAAGATCTGCTCTCAAGAACAAGATCTGCTCTCAAGAACAAGATCTGCTCTCAAGAACAAGATCTGCTCTCAAGAACAAGATCTGCTCTCAAGAACAAGATCGCTCAGCAGCCAAGTCTGTGCAGCAGCGACGGCGCCTCTTATCAACAAACTCGCATATCTTGCCAGCGTCTCCCAGCAATATATATTGTTAAGCCCTAGTGGCTTAGGCGAAATTTCGACACTCAGGTTTCAAGGAGTTTTATTTGAGTAATCTTGAAAGCATAGTTTCTGCATGTATGACACAGGAAATATTAGCTATCTAATACACAAGATAAACAAATATAAGCAAAATTAAATCCAAGTGAAACAAAAAATTATATCAGAATTAATAATGAAGGACTAATAAATTGCAGGACAAAACTCACCGAGGTATTTCGCCACTAAAGGAGGTTTGAACTACGAATTATAATTTATCTCCAGGTAAACTTCGGTCGGATGACTGAAGGTCTAAACAGAAAGATTGCGTGAAGCGTAGGCTACATGTGAAAAATTGCGATTACATATATATTATATCTCCCAGGAATATTATTCAGGCTTCAGTTACAGTACCTCACTCTGGGTCATCAAAAAGCCGCAAAAAAAGTATTTATAATGTGAATAACTTCATGTTGCAGTAACTAATACGCAATGTAGTCAATAAAACTTTACATTCCTATTCAGTTTCTTTGCAATTTAATGGGAACAATGAAGCGTTTTTCACTTGTGGCCAATATATACAAGTTCTTTATTTTATAATTTATCTGAAAACAAGCTATATATATTCTAATGTCCCTATGGAGACTAATTCAGAAATTATTTTAGGTAATTTTGAAATGCAAAGAATAGAAAACGAGTTAAAAAATAAAAAGTTTGCAAAATAATAGTTTAGTTAACTACACTAACTTTAGTAAAAAGGAATAGCTTTATTATACAGGCACCTGCACCAAAATCCATAGAGAAAAAATTTGTGCCTCACTGTCACTGACGATATGATAATCTTGACACATTCTCTGCATCTATGCCGCAAATCTGATATGTATTAATAAATATCGTAATAAAAGGTATACAGAATCAAATGGAATTCATAAACAACAGACCTGACACTCGTGCAATTTGCGCTCAAATCGCGCAGCTGAGGGCGTCGCAGATAACGGCTATCAGGGCAGCAGATAACGGCGCATGCCGGCGTAGCCACCGCGGCCCCCGACCTCGGTAATCCACTCGCTCGTGTATCAAATTGACAATTTTATAAATTACACATTAATAATAAATTTACGGCCAATAGGTACACTCTCGGGAATGCGACCCAACAGCCGCTGTATATATACGATGCTAGGCTTCAAACACACGAACTGTAACAAACGCATATTAGACTTGCACTTTTGATATACCATTGCTTTATGACACTGAAATCATTCCATTCTTAACTCCTAGACACTTTCAATACCAGAATTGTAATCTTTAGCTCGTGCACCAACAGACGCGGGAGGTGGTACTGAGGAGGATGCCTGGGACGAGTCTGGACCAAAGTCAGGGAGTGAATATTTCTTGTAGGATTCATCAAGGGGAGCGTTTGGGTAAAAAAACTTTTTATTTACGGATGGATCATTTTGAAACTGGGTACATCTATGTAAAAAAGATATTAATAAATTTTTAGTTCGTGTAAATTTTTCGAAAAAATGAAATAAAAGGTGTAATTCATATAAAACGGCAAAGAACCCACGGAGGGTACTGTAAAAATCTCCTCATTCAATTGACGTGCCACAACATCGAGAGACATATCGTTCGATTCGTAAAGACCGTATCTACCGTATCTAGTGATCGAACGATTTTCAATTTTTTATGCTGTTTTTTCTGATTTTTTTCATTTTTCTCTGCTCCCCTCCCCCGTTTTTCAATATATAATCCAAACTAAAACGAAATAAAAAAAGTGATCTACGAATCGCTAACGAATCGATCAATCGATTTTTTTTACGAATCGAATGGTTTACCTCACAATGCTGTAGCTTGAAAATCATAGGAGGAGAAATATTTTTAAGGTGGCATAATTTGGAAATTTCAATTGTTCAGGGGAACCAAATAAGTAAAATTTATTTAAAAAAGGGAGAATATGCCAAAAATATTGCTTGATATTGTAGCCCAACACATTACCATCTGGTTACATGTAGAATACCAGGGTATTGACTTATTCATGTCGAGTTTAGCATTAATAATAAGCTATAAATATGACCTTTTTAGATTTATATATATATATATATTAAAAATGATCATTTTATATAATTTCAAAACGACCTAACACAGAAAAACATTGCATGTACATCCGTGGGATTTGTTTTTCTGAGCCTGCATTGCTGGTAGCATTCAAACGAGTGCAAACACTTTGCAATTAATAATGATTAAAACTAAGCTGAACGCAACACTTACTTTAGAAGTATGGACTTTTTAATTAAAATACCACACGTGCACCAGAAGGCGCGTAGTTGCAGGCGCTGACACTCGTTATCTTCCCTGGCCTGATAAGCGGCCTCCTGCTTATCTCGCCGCGCAGCTCAGGCGCTGCCTCAGTTTACCTGCTATACTTTAGCAAGTTTACCTGCTACTATGATATTTTATTTTTATACTTTAGCAAGTTTACCTGCTACTATAATATTTTATTTGCATGAATTAATTCAATTGTGGGCTCCAGTATCTCTCAAATGAAAGAACAATACGGCATCTGGTGACATGCCACAACTCACTTGATAATAATCTTATTCATATTAAAAAACTGTCATCTTTTCTGGTGGTTGACATGGTAGAACTCACTTGATAATAATCTTTTTTTATATTAAAACACTGATATTTTTCCTAGTTGTTGCAATGCCACAACTCACTTGATACTAATTTTATTTACATTAAAAAACTGCTATATTTCCCTGTAATTTCAAACCTTAACTCACCATCTTGTATCCTGCGAGGCCTGGTCTGCATGTCATCATCTGATGTTTGGCTGCTGTTCTTTGATAAGTTTACACATATATTATACCATCATTATATTAACTGATTAGATAGAGTAATTCTATAGGTAGATTATCTGTACAGATTAACTGAATAGATAGAATAATGTACAGGCTAACTGTATATAAATTGTTTTAATTCAAATTGTAATTCCCATGATCCGTTAAAGGCGCTTGATAAGAACTAGTAGTTAATGCTTAGTTAGTTGAATGTTTGAAGTTTTAACTACAGTAGAGAGTTAATGAAAGCTGCCTGGAAGCGACGCCAGCAGCGAGGAGCGAGCAGGTATATGCCTGATCACACGCACGGTAATGCAAACAACCTCAACTTATTACAAACATTCCATTTGCAGACAGAAATACAGATCAATTTGGGGCAGAAAAACATATTAGCTGATCTGCTCACATTTTAAAGACACGAATGTGTTGTGACCAACGAAATATTCATTATTTCCATTAATGTGTTGTGATCAACGAAATATTCATTATTTCCATTAATGTGTTGTGACCAACGAAATATTCATTATTTCCATTAATGTGTTGCGACCAACGAAATATTCATTATTTCCATTAATGTATTGTGATCAACGAAATATTCATTATTTCACAATTAGTGAGTACAGCTCGTAATATAGTTCACAATTAGTGAGTCGTAACATCGTAACGTCGAATTTTGGTGTTCCGTTCTGTGACGCGTCATGCTTCCCATCTCCTACTTCTGCATCTGAGGTAAAGAGCTTGTTTCGATTGTGCAAAGGCAAGAGGCTCCACTTTAAATAAATTCAGCCACGAGTATTGTGCGAGGTTGCTGATATTATGGCGCCTGTTTTAGCTCATATATTTAATTTGTGTATGTCTACTGGAATTTATCCTGATGTACTGATGCATGCTCGTGTCATAACGGTCTTTAAGTCTGACAACTCAGGTAAAGTCGTATTTAAGTATCGAATTTACTTTGCCCTTCCTTAATAAGATTTTCGAAAAATTCTTCACTCTAGACTTACGAATTTCCCTGACAAATTTTCTTTAATATCTGATAGTCAATTTGGATTCCGCGAAGGGGACCAACACTATAATGGCTATAGTTTACATAGTCCAAGATTTACTGCAGGAATTCCATGAAAAATTACTGTATTGCTCTTTTTCTTGACCTGCAAAAGTCCTTTGATTGGGTGAACCATCAAATTCTCTTGAATAAACTCTACCGTTATGGCATTAGAGGGCCTTTTTATGCATTGATAAAGTCATATCTAACCAATAAAGAACAATATATTTCATTGAGAGAGTTCAAATCGCCCTCAAGACCAATCATGATTGGAGTACCACAGGGCTATGTTCTGGGGGCCTCTTCTTTTTAATATTTTCTTAAATGACATCGCCTCTTATTTCAATGTGAACTGCAAGTTTTTGCTGATGATGCC